ATGCCAAGAAAATCAAATTTATAAGCTTCAGTTTTAGATGGTTTAGGCCAAAATGTAAAGTGGAATCCCTGTCCCATTAACTAAAACCTTACATGGGTGGAAAAGTCATTTAGAATGGACCCACCAGATACACAACATTGGTGTACACTAGCCTCAGATAATTATCTGGTAATTTCACACCCGTTCTCTCTCTGTGTTATGTCTGTGTCTGTCTGTTTCTCTCTCACCTCTTATTCCCTTTAGGTCAACAAGAAAAGCAATTATGCTTTATAAGCTTCTATAGGTATAGTTTTAAAATAGCTCTAGTTCGCAATACAAACACTAATCCATGACTCAATGCTTTATGACTAAGTCCTGATTCTGCAACCCTTCCTTGGCAAGATTCCTGTAGGACTTTGATGCTTACAAAGAAAGTTTGCTGAGTGGACAGTAAAAACACAAAATGAGCCAGAGGGCATTCTCTCTTTGCAGCACAGAATAAATGCATACATTTTCCATTCCTCATTCTGTCATCATTTCATTTTCGTGATCCTTTGTCTTTTGTATATGCTAAATACAATGTCCCACATTCCTGATAGTGTCACTCTGTCTTTATCTAATCTTTCTTTTATGCCTTGCTATGTGTGCCTCATTATTCTATCCTTCCCTGAAGCTTCCCAACATGAAGAGTCTGCACTGAAAGAAGTAAGAAATAATTGGAGGAGGCTGAACATATTGTAGGTCACACAGAGAATAGTCAGTCAGAACAAGGTCCTGTGACGTTATTTGAAGATGGCAGGAGAGCTGGTTGGATGTATTTCAGGTAATGAACCAGTTGACTTTACAGCATGCAAATGGTTCAAAAAGTTGTGCAAAAATCACTTGCCAAGGTAAATAAGCAGACATTCTTTGTTTTTTTCCCTTATCAAGAGAGAGTCACCTTTTCTTACTTATGTTTCTGAGCACCAGAATTCATTTTCTTTAACTTGAAGTGAAAATAATCAATTACGTGAATAAAAGGTCAGAGGTCATAGGTATGGCTCATCCTCCAACTGGTTAAATATATAAAAATAATAGATGACCTTATATGAAAAACTTTTTAAATTTAAAGATTTAAACATTTAAATCTTTTTAAAAATGGAACAAGAAAAATAAAAAATAAAATAACATTTAAATTTACTTAAACTAATTAATTATTTAATAAATAAAATACTATGACATTTAAAAAAATTCCCCCTGAAGGAGAGAGGCACATTCGAATATCTGCATAATGTAGCTTGAAGTGACAAGAAAAATGAACATGCAGAGTGAAAGTGAGTCATCCTCTTGAGGGCCTGAGTGGAGAGAATACCAAGGAAGGAATACTGGGGCTTTACATTTATAATTATCCATATATTTTGCATACATATAGTTGCACATATATTACTGCTGTACATTAACTTTTTGGATGAAGGAAATAAAATTCACAGTACTTGGATACATTAATTTTGGAAAGCCAATTATTAAGAGAAAATTCTGGCAGTCTCAACTACTTTTCTTTCCAAAATGTAACCCCTTTCCATTCATTCTATCAACTTGGCATTTTGGCCTGATGGGCATAACCGGGAAAGTGTTAGACTGTCAGTTGCTACTTAGAGTAAAAGTGCTACTATTACTGGTATAATTTTTATTTAGACAATTATTCAGGAAAAGAATTGTCAATAATTCTTCTTCAAATGTTTGGTAGAATTCACCATGAAGCCTTCTGGTCCTGCACTTTCTTTGTTAGGAGGTTTTTGATTATGTTCTTACTTGTTATTAGTCTGTTCAAATTTCCTGTTTCTTCATGATTCAGTCTTGGGTATCATATGTTCTAGATATTTATTCAGATTTTCTAGGTTGTCCAATTTGTTGGCATATAAACATTTGTAGTAGTCTTTTATGATCCTTTTCTTATTTCTGTAGCACCAGTTATAATGTCTCCTCTTTCAACTCTGATTTTATTTATTTGGCTCTTCACTCTTTTTTTTTAATCTAACCAAAGTTTTGTCATTTTTGTCTATTTTTTCAAAAGACAACTCGGTTTTGTTGATTTTTCTATTCTCTATTTTGTTTAAATCTGCACTAATCTTTATTATTTCCTTCCTTCTGCTAACTTTGGGCTTAGTTTGTTCTTTTTTTCTCTAGTTCCTTGGAGTATGAAGTTAGGTTGTTTATTTGAAATCTTTCATCTTATTTTTTAATGTAGATATTTATTGCTATGAACTTCTCTCTTAGAACTGCTTTTGCTGCATTCCATAAGTTTTGGTATGTTGTGTTTTCATTTTCATTTGTCTAAAGATATTTTCTAATTTCCTTTTAATTTCTTCTTTGGCCTGTTGGATTTTCAAGAATATGTTGTTTAATTTCTATGTATTTGTGAATTTTATCATTTAACTGTGCATGATGTTATCGCTCTGTTTGACGCTCTTTGACTGGATATTAAATAAAGACTTTTAAGACTCCCTCTGTTTACTAAAAGAAGATATGCTAAACTTTTAATCTAACAAGACTTCTTTCAAAATTAATTTCTTTTTTAGTAAGAATTTTTTGAATTGTAGCTGTCCTGATATATGTGAGATGACAGCGACCGCCTTTAAGGAAAGAAAGCCTAATGTGACACCACCTCTCAGAGGTTAAAGTGAAAGTCTGCATGTCATGTTACACTTTCTGTCAAAATGTCCTAGGACTGTCATTCACATTCAGCACCACAGGCCTGAATTTTGGTTGTTCGGTGGAAAACAAATGATGAAATTCAATGCATAAAATTGCAAAGCACCAATAATATTCCAGCACATTACTAAGAGAGATCATTGTTGCTTTAAATGGTAAAAGAAAAAACACATTAAATATACTCAAGTGGTTATTTGAAACATATAGTAAAGTAGAAGATTCAATATTAATGAAATGAAAATATAACTTTAAAAAATGCATCTTTTCCACATGCTGCCTTCCCCACCACCCATTATCTGTGGCCACACACTGGCTGTTGCTACACTGACCATGTGGAATGGGATGATGAAAAAACAATACCTGGATGGATGAAAGAAGAGAGAGGAAACTCTTAAGTAGATATTTCCAGTGTTCAAAGACTCAAATTAGTATCATGTGTTTTTAGTGGAAACCTAAATTGTTTTTCATTCATATATACATTCTGCACATTTCTACTGGGGAAAATTTTGCACTGCACTTCCTAATAAAAATGTGGAAATTTATAATATTCCTGTCTGTCCCTCATTTGATATTTCTATCTTAGTTTGGCAAAAGAATTGTAACATCATTGAATGACGGAATTACTTGATGGCATCAAATCTTTTCAATTAAGATATTTATATAAATGTCCCTTGCAATCAACAGTCAGATCATGTTGAAGAAATCTACAGTTCTTTTAAAGAAATAAATCAGTTTAGCTAAATCCAAAGGAATGTCATTAGTTTTCACAATTAATTCATTCTTCAAATAATACAACGTAACAACATTTTGCTGCCTATTGAACATTTAACATAACGTAAAAATTCTCTTGCAAGCAAAATATCCTAATTTACATATTATGCTTGAAAAACATAAAATTGTATATAGCACCAAAATAGGTGCTAGGTGACAATAAAAATAAAGTTTTGGATATGATGATATTTTTCTGAAGTGAAACATAAATGCCTTAATAGGTTTGGAGTCCATGTTACTTGAAATACTTCTTTTTAAAAGTTAAGTACATACATGGCTGAGAAAAAAATCATGTCATGCTCTCATGTTTCACTAAATAACAATTTTGTTTAATTTAAATTTAATTGCAAAGTTAGAAAAATATGACTTTAGGGTATTTTTTAATACATTGCTACACTGACTAATGGAGCTTCTCCTTGTGTCCTTCATTGCTCTCACTGAGTCTCCTGTCAGCTTTCCCCTCCTACTACTCTCCCACATCTCCTCCAACTCCAGCGCATGCTTATAAAAGGTCACCCAAAAGTTTTTTTTCTTTTTAATAAAAAATTCCAGTAAATTGGAATTTTTACCACTAAGTCCCTGTATATTTGTCAATAGTTCACGTAGATCTTCTCTTCTGGGTAAATATAGAAACAGGCTCTATCTGAACATTCAACATAGGTATACTTCATGGTTTTACTGGTTCACTAATATGCTCATTTTGACAACAAGAAATATTAGTTCGGAGAACGACACCACACCCATAGAATGTCTTGGGATAATTAGAAACTAAATGTATTACATTGGACTTAACATATTTACTTATGTTTTAGGGAACATAACTTGTTGCATGGCATATCAGAATCCACATTCCTCTGAGCCTAGTAGAGTAGGAAGGCCAGAGGTGCAATAAGATGCCTTAGCAAGATCACAGTGCTTGATTTGGAGATCAGTGTTCTCAGGCTGGCTCTGGGGCAAATTACAATAACTGAAAAGTTTCTTGACTATTTCAGTTTTATTTACCTACAAGATGATGGTTTTGGACTACAGTTTATCGCTAAGTTACTCCTAGCTATAAAATTTGTTAGGATTTTACTGTATCTGAACTTACAGAATGGCAAGCTATCACTGAGAAATTTTAAGTATTTTTTTGTATCTTAAATCTTTGGTTTCCCATGGCTATTCCTAATAGGATCTATCCTGGGATATTTACAAAATGTAGATTTTCCACTACTGGCTCATGGAATCAGAATAGCATAGGCATTTTTCAAAGCTTTCTTAGTATTTCTGACACAGCCACTCTTTC